AACTTATAAGTGAAAAAAATGATAACTATGCACGCTTACAGAAGGTTTGCAATTCTAGGATCAAAAAATTTGAAGTTATTCTTACTTTGAACGTTTGACAGGTAAATTGTTGACCTATGAAGTGAATCCTTTAACTCGAAGGGTTTTCATTGCCATAGTAAAGAGATTTGCTCTAATTCATGGTGAAGCCGTGGACTACTGCAAATATATTTGGTCCATCTCGACAGAAGGGTACTGAAGCGGTGCTGCGTGCGCGAAGAGCTATATTGGTCATGCGTGAATCGCGCGCCCCTCGATCAACATGGAAGGGGTATTCGGACGAGATTTCAGTTGCTATAGTTGAGTAAAGGGCCGACTACATTGAACCAAAAATGTCAAAAACTGTCTTCCACACGAGTATCTACTATTTATTCGAATTGCCGACATGGGGTCCCAGTGAATGGTGCAGCTCTACAAGCCGTTGGAACTCGTCCAGCATTGGGTGTGGCATACACCAGATCCAATCCTTGTACCAATATTACGCCTCATCTAGGCCGTTTTTCGACCAAACAGAGCACATATGGATTACTCGGAGGTCGCAAATTCATCGTAGAGAGGTATCTCGAAAACCATTCTTTTCGTGAACATTGCTTTCAAATATTCAGTATGGCACATTAGTAGGAGGAGGGATGAGAGTACACTAAACTCTGAGCTCCTGATCCTTCGTGAGAATGAATCCACGACTGCATGTGATCACTCAATAACTATGGAACTCACAACTCGTTCGTACTTTGAACTATCTCCACTAATTCGCTGGTTCCGACAAACGAAAACAAGATTTGCTGCTTAATATGTTATTCATGAACAAGGGCAATTCAGCTCAAATTGTGGCGTCATCTAGATGCTAATATGGTGGCCTAGAAAACGCCATCTTGGGGATGATGACCCTTATTTTTCCCTCCTGAAGAGAAACTTCTTGAGTTCCAACGGAATTGAAAAGCAATTTCATGTCCGGACTGTTCTATCCTTCCCGAATTGGCCTATCTCTAGTACGTTCGCCAAGGGTTAATATTATTCGACAGAAAAATGCTTGTATAATCACACATGATTTTATGAGTTACAACGAGTCTCTCTGAGAACTTTAATAACGGAGTTTTCATAGTTAAGCAGCAATTGTTAAGGAAATGGCTCAAACGAACAGAGAAAAACAGCGTCTACTGCCCCCAAAAATAGCGTCGGTGTCAATGAANTCCTGAGGAAAAACTTCTTGAGTTCCAACGGAATCGAAAAGCAATTTCATGTCCGAACAGTTCTATCCTTCCCGAATTCGCCTATCTCTAATACGTTCGCCAAGAGTTAATAACGAGTTTCTCTGAGAACTTTAATAACGGAGTTTTCATAGTTAAGCAGCAATTGTTAAGGAAATGGCTCAAACGAACAGAGAAAAACAGCGTCTGTACTGCCCCCAAAAATAGCGTCGGTGTCAATGAATCGTCACCGCTACTCTGAAGAGAGCAAAAAGTTCACTCGGCTGTGAAAGTAGAGGGCCGTCGAAAATCCTCCATCAAGCCGTGGGAAGAAAGATCTGAGAGGCGACCACTACAGAGTACGAGAGACATTAGCTCGAAGAAAAAAGCCGTTTCGCCCACGACGCATACGGTAACTAGTAAGTAGATATATGCGTGATCACATCGCATTCGGCAGTATCCCTCTCTGGTTGGACGTTTATGGGCCGACGATGAAGTAGTTATGATGACAAACACCTTCTTTTATTCTATTTTACAGTTGTCGTTTTCCACCGCATGTCAACTCCATCGTAATGGTGCCACTTTACTAATTTTCGGATCCTTGGGGCTTCAAAATCATAGCTGAGAAGATATAGAGGTTATCGTAGAGATTTTGGAAATAAAATCGCATATTCGTACACGCAGTGTCTCAGGGCATTAGGGAACCGAGCGAAAGGAGAAAAGCTTCAAAATTGAACTGAAATTAAAGGGCCTCTGCATAGAAATGGCTTTTCAGAGAAAATCAGGCGAATCAAAGAGTGTTCGAGATGGTCTCGCGAATCCGATCAGAAAAGGCAAAACCGCGAACATATGCAGAATGTGGGGTAGACATATCAATCAAAACCGGAAACTCATGGATTATATCGACCCTTTGAGCGGCGAGTGATCGGACTCTTGAGGCTTTGATATGTCTATTGAGAAAGCTTATCAGGGACAATCACAACAATGTTGAGCTAATGGCAAAAGGATGAAAGGATAAAGTCTTTGGGCGTTGGTCAATACCGTCAGAAGGATGCGCCCCCTCATTCAACTTCCATTCAGAAACGAAGACGTATTGAACGCGTATGTGGCCTATACAATGACTTGCGGTGGTCAGCCAATGTACAAGCCAGTTTTTTTACCTCCCAGATGGGTCTTGTACCAATGAACCGACCCTCGAGGATGGAAGGCTTGGTTGACTTAGGCGGACATTAATCCGGGACTCGGACCCCGTGTCCGTCCGTGGGCGTGAGATAGTGCGCCACTTGCCATCGCATCATCTCTGTGCTGAGTTAATGTAGAACCCTACAACTCAATTCTGATCAGCACTAAATCTTTCTGGGAGCAGCGCTAACTCTCTTCACTACTGGAATTCAGCACCCTTTTTATTTCCAGTACGGGACACTAACGTTCGGAGCTCTGTGGCATTCTAAACAACAACATAAAACTTCCTAATGTGAACATTCCTACTACTTGGGCAGTCATATCTCCGTCGAGTGGTGATTCCTTCTTCTACTATTTGTCCCTGGACGATATCACATGGGAAGGCAAAGACGTTTCTACTCCAGTAGCAACTACTTATGAATGCCTGTAACTCAATCGAATTATTATTTTTTTACTCTCTGAAGATGACTCGCTCAAATGAAGGTAGGATGGACAGGGAGAATATACTTCAGTACACTGAAAGAAAGCATCGTTGACCGATGTCAGGAAGTCTGATAAATTCCACTATCCGATAGCTCTTTTCTGGAGGGGACGCCATTTATTTAATAGNCAAAATGAATCGTTGTAAAATAACTCTAACGCAAAACTCTACGAACTTATGTTACAACCCAATATTTGTCCCTGGACGATATGACATGGGAAGACAAAGACGTTTCTACTCCAGTAGCAACTACTTATGAATGCCTGTAACTCAATCGAATTATTATTTTTTTACTCTCTGAAGATGACTCGCTCAAATGAAGGTAGGATGGACAGGGAGAATATGCTTCAGTGCACTGAAAGAAAGCATCGTTGGCCGATGTCAGGAGGTCTGATAAATTCCACTATCCGATAGCCCTTCTCTATAGGGGACGCAATTTATTCAATAGATATTAGTAAGCTGTGCCAATTGCGGTCATGACAGGATTGACCATTTCTGATGATGATTTTTAGGCCTGTTCAGAGCATAAACCTCTTTTCCAATGAATCAGCACCCTTTGTTGTACGACTTCGCTCCTTCTACGCCGACACTTTTGTCATAACCTTTTTTCGTGCCCCGTGAGCGTTCACATTGCTCAGCTGCTGACTATTCGTTTTGTTTAGATTGTGAAACTGGTATGGGAAGAACTGCGAGTAAAATTTATATTATGGCGAACGTCCGGTGAATTCACTTTGCATACGAAATTTTATGGTGCTAAGATACGAAATGTGCCCCATAAATTTCCAAACACAAATTATCACAAGCCGGTTTTCAACAGTCACAAGAACCAAACCAACTAAAAGAATTAGGAACAGTGGATGATATTAACGTCAGCGAGCAAAGGAACCCGGATTTCAGCCAGGTGTGCTTTGTCACAGATTTACTATATACTATGTACTATTCATGAATGTGTATCAGCAAGAAGTATAAAGTAAGCAGTGAAGTCCAGAAATTCAGGCAAACTCGAGAAGTAAAAGTATGTCATGGCCAGCGCCTTCACAGGAGGTACGACTCAGTAAAATATGGAGTTGCTGCGATCACTTCTGGGCTAAGTATAGCTTCATATTCCACCCTTAAGAGATAGGCCATCTTCTGCCAAATCGGCAGTAGGGTAGAGAGACGACACATGCCCATTTACAACTTCTTCAAAGAGTGGACGATATGAAAAGGTCTCTACGACATCGAAAAGAAATCGGGCAGTTGATTAAAACTGAGGCCAGGACTGATCAACACAAGTCATTTGCATCACCTGCATCATGAAGTGACAGTGAAATGAAAAGTGAAAGATGCTCAACCAGGTGGGTTACCAGGCTGAAATAAGCGCATTCCCGGCCATATTCATCGCTGTGATATGCTGAGGGTATTCTCAGCTATGTATCTCTACGGCAACCCGAAAGCCTCTTTTCTATTCTAATGGCTCAAAATGTGTTGACATTAGTAACGGACGAGGTAACATTTTTTAAAAATGCGGAGGAATTAACTGTTGAAAGTACACGTTAGGGAAGAGGAACCGTTCTATTAGTTGGAGTGATACAAACATTTTCCAGATTCACTAATG